CCTGAAGTGGATTGGCTTAGCTTTTTTTTAACCCTCTTGCTAGACTTGGCCTGAATTCTGGCAGTTTTGTTGTTGCCTCTCGGTTCTGGATGGGAAGTCACTAAACAGTTTTGCAGTGTTTTATGACTAGCACATACTGCAGTTTTTGTGGCTTTTGCCATGTTATAACTGGTTTGTTATATTTATATTTTTCATTTCTGCTATTTAATTTTCATTTAGAGGAAAACACTAAAGTGGCATTCAGCATATTAAAACAATACAACATTTTATTTATATTAAATACTGTACTTATAGACCACAGAGTGGTTGGGGAAACACAACCAGATGGCCAAGGAATAATAATAATAATAATAATAATAATAATAATAATAATAATAGCATTACTAGGTAACATAGCAATAAAATATTGCATATAAAAGCACCCCCCACCCAAAGAGGAATAAGATACTGTTAATCTGTCTGGGAAGCCCTGTTACAAATAGGAGTTTTTGTCAACCTCTCTTGGGCAACTGACCCTGCTCTTATCTCCTGAATAAACCTCTGAGCATTTAGGAATTTTCTGGATTCCAAAAGTCTCCAGCAGTAAACCAACCAAATAGTCATCCCACCCCACCTGGCATCCCTGCAGAGTTTTCTTCCCAAACCTCCCTAGGAAGTGGTCTGATCATGACAATTGGTTTACACAACCCTGCTGTATTCAGACCACACCCCTCATCCTCTGAGGCAAAGACCAAATCCATGTCACGTCCTGCTCTGTGTGTTGGGTCAGTGACCAGCTGAGACAGCCCCGTGGAGTGGGGGCCAGGTGGGCAAAGCTAAGTCAGTTCAGCTCTGCCCAGTTTACCCACTCAGATCTCAGTAATGCACACCAGGCCAGTTCCCTCATCCCCAAGTCGTGGATGAGTGAGATCCTAATATGGAGCAACCTGGAATTCAGTAACAGAACCACCAGTGTAGGGGAGCACAGTGGAATCTGCTCTTGGGAATGGGGCTGGAGAAGGGAACAAGGCACAAACCATTGAAATTCCGCCTTCCACAATGACCCACCCCTACACCGTTGCCATATTTCCCTCTGCTTGATATCACTGAAATAGGGACACCCCCCCCCCCCCCCGTTGCCCAAATGTGGTGTTTGTGGACAATCTGGAAAGGTGGGCTTCTATATGACACTGATTTTTCAGTTGTGTTCGGGGCCACTAAGTGACCCAGAACAGTACCAGCGGCCAGCTCTGTGAACAGCTTTTGCTTTCCCAGGGGCCTGTGGTCTTAAAAATAGTTTTCCCCTCCAAGGCTTGGTTGAACATATCATTTGAAGTTAATTGTGCAAAAAAGAGAACCCTCCAAGGGCAAGTGCATTTTTTAAAAAGGAGAGAGGGAAATATAGCTCCACTGTAAACCTTGTAGCTTTATTTTTTATATATTTTTTGTCCTGCAGCATTGCTGATTTAGGCTTGAACACTGAATTTTGGCTGAACTGAGCTGTCATGAATTTCTCCACACTTATTAGCTTGTTGTTAAAAAGGGATTGGCCATCTGTAACAAAAACAAGAGGAAGCTCTGTGGTGCAGTAATCTGCAGGGAGCACATCACAAAGATAATCCTCTGCTGCTGAGAACAAATAAGGCAAAATAAACCACAAAGGCGTGAGGGAATGACTTGTCGATCAGACTTCGGAGAATGTTATTTCTAAAATTAACGAAGTAGGCTTGAATAAATAAGAAAGTTGGGGTTATCACTTGTGTACTACGTGAATTGGAATGGGAGGAAGTGCTGTGTTTAATAGCTGCAGGAGCCAGACCTGGTTTTTTTTTCTGTTTTGTGTTTCTTTGTGTGTGCATGCAGTGACTGGTTTGTGCTATGAAGCATTGCCAAAAGGACTTTAAAGTGGGTGGGAAGAAACCTTCTCGCAAAACCTTTCCCATGAAGGTGATTCTCAGGGATGGGATGCAACTGTTTGGCCCCTCGTCCCTGCTTCACCATTCACTCTTCTGCCAATATTTAGACTTGTGAGTGATATTTCTTAGGTAGCCATAAGAGAGAACGCTAAGGTTTGTGGATGTGCCAAATATATTTCCCATATTTTTCCAAATATATTCAACCCCCCCCCCCCATATATTATGGAAAACCCTAAGGTAGGCAGGCTCTATGTTTCAGGATCCACTGATTTTGTATTTATTTTATATTTTTATTTTTCTTAAGATCCTCTAAATTGAGCCCCTGCAAAAGACATACCTGTAGAGCTAAAGATTTTGGGCCTTAGAATTTGTTTTGAGTACCAGAACGGAAGGGAGCTCACAGTCTTTCCGCACAAAAATCTTCTCTCTCTCCTTTCTCCTTCTACTCCCAGTTGTTTACCAACGTTCCTCAGATCACCTAGAGATCTACTTCTGCCCAACCCTGATCGATTCTTGCTGATTTGGATGACTTAGAAATTAATAGTGAACATGATGCCTTCAAGTGATGAATCTCACTATGTACACATCTTCAGATACATTAAAAGTTGGAACTGCATTTTGAGGAATTTGCTGTGGCTTACAAGGACTTGAGTGTTTTGGTCGTTCCCCCCCCCCCCGCCCCCTGCCCCAATTTTGTGAAAGTGAATACAATGATGCCTTTTAATTGTATATCTAACTTGGCTGATTCTGGCAACATTGTAGAAAGAGGGTTGCTGGATGTTCCTATCTATCTAAATGACTTTTCAAAGGAAGTCTTCTGTTAATCAGGGTTAACCCTGTTTTCAGGGTTTGAAGGACGGTAGGGAAGGGAGACGATAGTTAGTGGCATAGCATTTTTGTTTCCCTTTCATGGTAATGTGGGGAAATGAGGGGCAGAACGACTAAATATGCCGAGGGTAAATGGCATAAATACCCGACTTAATGTTTCCCATCTGGTTCTTATGCAAATTCTAAGAATTATGTATTTATTGCATCTGTCAACCAATTAAAGAAAGCTTAACTGATTATCTGATTAAATTGCACAGGAGAGAACTGACAATAGTTTATAGAGAGGCTGACGTTGAGATGCATTGAGTGATGGCTTTGTGCTGGCAGGAAAATCCTTCCATTTGAACAAGGAGGAGCACCCAGTTCCCATCACCTCCTGCTACCCTGGGCGCCCTACCACGTACTGATCCTGAGAGTCCAGGATCAACCTTTGCGGGGGGCATGCAGTGGGTAGGATGTAATGTCCAAAATTGAGCAAGGAGTGGCGCAACTCTTTGTTCTTTAGATCAGTGGTTCCCAATTCCCAAACGCCAAGCCATAGGCCCCCTACTTTGGATAATGTTGATGTATCTATGGTAGCTCCCTAATTGGGAACCACTGCTTTAGACGATGGCCAAGTGCTATAGCAGTCCTAATTTTGCAAGAGGTGTCCTCCACCCTCTTGCGCACAAGGAAGGTACGCATCTCTTTAGAAGATGCTTGTCACATCTGTAGCTTTTGTAAGTGCAGTGGTACCTTGGTTCTCAAACTTAATCTGTTCTGGAAATCCGTTCCGCACTTTCCCATAGAAAGTAATGCAAAACAGATCAATCCATTCCAGACTCTTAAAAACAACCCCTAAAACAGCAATTTAACATGAATTTTACTATCTAACGAGACAATTGATCCATAAAATGAAAGCAATAATGAATGTACTGTACTATAAAATAAATAAGACAGTATTGTAGATGATAAAAATCAAAATTATTTTTTTTCTTACCTTCACTGATGATAGTCATTGTTTGGATGGGGGGGGGGCTTTATCCATTTCCGCAGTCACACAGTCAATCAATCAGTAGCTGGACTCGGTTCCACACAGTCACAAAAACAAATTAACCGAAAAAGCCTCAAAAACAAAAAATCGCAAAATAAATAGCAAAAACAAAAGCGCCAAACTTAATCCGTTCCAGAAGTTCATTTGACTTCCAAAATGTTCGAAAACCAAGGCACAGCTTCTGATTTGTGCAGGCGCCCTGGAAACAATAGCCGACAACCACATCAGATGTTCGGCTTCCAAAAAACATTCAAAAACCAGAACACTTACTTCTGGGTTTTTGGCGTTTGGGAACCAAGGTGTTTGAGTACCAAGGCATTTGAGAACCAAGGTACCATTGTACCTTTAATTTTAAAATCTGCTGCCTGATTAGTTGGAGATACCTATTATTGACAAACAGTTTTTTAATGGTTTAATTAAGTAGGACTGCACTGCTAGGATTTATGAAAATATTTTTACTGCTTTTACTGCATTAAAATAGTGCAATAGTGACTGCCCACTATATTGGGGCAGTGACTTGATTCTCTTCCCCTTTTGTCAGTTCTCCATGAGTAGACACATTTCCTTTCTGTCACGGGTATTTTATTGACTTTGTGTGCATGCCTCATTGGTCACCCATTGCATTTTAGGCATGCCAAGGGGACGCTCTTGGTCCTTGGGGATCCAGTCTGTATGGTGGGAAGTCTGCCTTCCACACCTGCATACTTGTCATCCTACATGGCATGGTGCTCCTCCGTTACACCTGCATGCTAACACTTCTTTGTTTTGTGCATGAGCATGAAGAGAGATGATATGCCTCATTCCATGGCTCTTTGCATAACAGCTGATTCTTCTTGATTGGCTCATGTTGTCAGCTGACATTCTGCCCCCTAGATCATAGCTGGAATGAGTGTTTAGATGTAAAAATACTTCAAGTCATCTTTGGCAATTCTGTCATCAAGTAACAATGATGTTATTCTTTCAAAGTTGGCCCATGCTGCTGCCTTGCCTCTGCTGCACCTGCCTCTTCAGAAATCTTGTGTTTAGTCACTTTGGTCAAGAACTAACATACTTGTGTGCATAAAAAAGGATCCCCTACTTATATCCCAAAAAAGGGCTTTCCATGCTTGTTGTTCAGCAGAATATCTTTGGGGTTTTAATTTATGAGTCTTTCAATGAGTCATGTATGTAGTATTGTAGGAACAAAAGAAAGCTGTTTTTAAAAATACTATACTCTGAACTGGGTTCTTTCTATGTATTTTCAGGTAAAAGCAAAGAAGCTGAGATAAAAAGAATAAACAAAGAATTGGCAAACATTCGGTCAAAGTTTAAAGGTAAGTAACTGGTACATTGTTGCAGTGCTATCTGTTCAAAACAAGAATTTATTTTCGTGAATAAAGTGATACAAGAGCACAAACAAATGAAGAACAAGGGTCCAGACTCACATAGGCATTTAGAATTATCAAGTTGGAAGGGATCACAAGGGTGATCTAGTCTTCTGTCCTGCTACCACCTCTGATCAAACAGATTTTTGACCAGGAAATGTGATTCAGATAGTTTCCGGTGGTTGCCAAACTATGAATATTGTTCAAGATAAAGGCATGGAATTGTCTTACTGGTTTCCAAATAGAACTGTGGCTTTATTACTGAAGAACATGCTGTTATCCATGTGCTGAGCAGTTGACTACAACCTTGTAAATAAGTAAACAAGCAAGTTTAGGGCAACTAAAATATACAGGAATTCTTTTTTATACCTCTAGCTTGAAAGTGTAATAAGCTTTCCTAACAGTTTACATGGAGATGTACAGATAAATGCTCCATAGGCTTGTGTTTCTGGATGTCTGTGCAGGCCCTGCAGATATCTCTTACCTCAGTTACTATGGGGCTTGAATAGAAAGGTTCAGAGTAATGATTCTCAATAGTCAGAAGCTCTCTGACATGTGAGTAAAATATGGTAAACTGTTTTGTAATCCCAAAGTAGTTGATCATTACTTACTTCCTGCTGAGAGCTCAACTTGCCTCCAGTTAAACACTCCTGTGTTACTTTTCTGCCCAATAACCAAAACCTTCAGATCTCATCATAAAGCCAAAAAAAAGTTAAATATGTATTTCTTTCTATTTAACTGCTGGTTGTTGCAGCATATTCTGTGTTCTGTGGTCCATTGATTTCTATCCATAGTGATTTCTAGAAATGTCTTCTGGCTTTTTGAACACTGTCCAATTCAACCCACCATTTTATTTCAGTAAGTTTGGAGGTGTATTTTGCACTTCTTTTTAATTACATACTTTTACCTGCTTCTGCAGCTAAATGATGTCCAAAGTGGCTCACAATGAAGCCTTAAAAAACCAGCAATGCCAGTTATTAAAAACAAACTCCAGTGTAATAAATGACACAGCAGTAATACAACCAAGTTTTGCTGTGGGTTGTTTTTTTTTTGTAGAAGATAGGCCATGTGGTGCAGTGTCTTCACTGTCCTGTGATAAGAAAACATTTCCTAAAAACACTGCTTGGAAAAGACGATAATGGTTTGTCTCCTGGTGCAGATGCTACTATCTGCTGGATTAGGTGTTGCCCTTCTTATAAAAGAATGCTGATCTCTGCTCCATTAGAAGTGAACAAGCCATTTCCTGGCAGCCTGGGCTGAACAAAGATGTCTGCCAGTGTTTGAAATCTTGGGTATCTGCATTGTATTGGTAGAATACAATTACAATTTTTTTTGCCACCATGCTCCAATATAGAAATTAACAAGGGTCTGATCTGAACATGCAGTTTTGGCCACAACCTTTAGAGCTGTCTTTTATGGACAGAAAGATGTGCCTGCTGAGTGCAAAAACCCCCATACACTCCAGTGCACCTGGGGATAATCATGGACAGCTGTACTGATCAGTACTACCGGAAACCTGTGTCCTTTGGGATTCATAGGCAGCATCCAAATTAAATGTATATTGGAAATCTGCTGCCACTTCTAGTGGCTAATTGGCCTTCTTCCATCATGTCATTTAGATTGTTTACGTAGAGCTAGCTTGTTAGAATATGTCATCCTAACTCCCTGTACACATAAGCAGATGAAGTCCTGCATGTCGAGAGACGAGTCCTGGGTAAGTAAACATTCTAAGGGAGTCAGCGCGGCTCAACAGTGCTGCTTCATAAAATATTTCAAGAATGATGACCTCAATCAAGTGCAGCTAATGTGGTTCCCTCTGTATGTTGTGGGCTTAAGCTCCCATCATCTCTGACATCTGATCATGCCAGCTCTGGCTGATGGGAGTTGGAATCCAACAACATCTGGAGGGTGTTGCATTGGATGTCTCTGGACTAAATTCTTGCCTTATGAGTTCAGCTGAGAGCAGAGACCTTTTTGATAACTTGTCAAATTGGTTAGGACACCAAACTTCAAGGAGTAGAGATCGGAAGCAAAGTTTACTTCTTAGCCACAGCAAGTTAGGTCATCTGAGCAGACTCACTTTGGCTTGTTTAAAACAAACTGGCTTCAAACAATGAGTTACAATGCTGGCGTGTTTTTAAACAAGCCATGGTTTAGGTTCAGATGACATAAACAGTGGTTAATGGAAATCAGAAATGAAAACTTCCAAAATCCTCTGGGCAGCCATACTGCAGGGGGATCCTGTGAGCCCCAGGCTCACTCATCACACTAAACCATTATTTGTAAAAGCATTATTAAAAGCCTCAATTAAGTACCATGTTAGATGTCATGCTCAACCATTATATAGTGTGATGTCTATTTCAGACATTTTAGAATGCTTTCAAAACTAGTGTAAATTCATTATTTCATTTCCCAGTTTCTGCTAAGACAGCTAAACCTTAGTGCTGACGTAATACTTGACATAATACTCTAAAACAGAGAGTAGTGTTCATTTAATACAGGATATGGCAAACAGCATGAATGAACATTTTAATCATTTCAGTACTTGTTTATGAGACACTTTGGTCCCACTAGAGCAGTGGTGGCCAAACTTGACCCTCCAGCTGTTTTAGCTAACAGGACCAGTGGTCAGGGATGATGGGAACTGTAGTCCCAAAACAGCTGGAGGGCCAAGTTTGGCCACCACTGCGCTAGAGTGTCTGTAATCATCTGGATGTTGGGTATATTTGTATCAGTGATTTGCCTTGTGTTGGTGCAGATCACTCAAGACAACACTAGGTCTTTGAAAACTATGCCCTGTACTGCTGCAAATAGCTTTATTAAACAGTTCCATAAGACTGGGCTCGAGTTGCCTAAAGTGAAGGATTAGATATAGCAACTTCAGCCATGCAAACACAGATGTTGCCTTTATGTATTTGGTTTTAAAATGTTAATTATGCCCTTAAAGCAACAGTGAGTAAACAACAAATCTAAGACTTGGAAAATACAGCAGCCACTTCCCAGACTTACTGACTTTGTAGTCTGACCAAGGGGCTGTTTCACAGGACTTTATCGCTGCCACGCCCAGTTTTCTCCCCCGCCCCCTTTTAAATGTATTTTTATTAAAGATTTTCTTGGTTTACAAAAGTATATGCAATGTCTCTCTCTCTCTCTCTCTGTCTCTTTTTTCCCCAAGTAACATTTTTTTACAGATCAGTTTTATTTGTTGAGACATTAGGAAGAAGGGGGGGGAGATGGGGGGGTCAGGTGGTGATGTTTCTATTATACTTAATATATGTGGGGGTTTGTGTCAGCGTCGCTTGTGCAGGTTCTCTGCTATTCACTTGTGTTCCTTTGGTGGTGAGAGAGGTTGGGGTTGGCCTAGGGCCACACCCAGTTTTCTGACTGGTGCTTCGTTGTGATACAGGTGCGCACAAACCCTTGCTTGTCACATCAACACTGTTTACGGTTTTTAAAAAAGGTATATGCCTCCATTGTTCAGCCCTGACACTGAGGTCCAGCGCCAAGGGCCTTCTGGCGGTTCTCTCACTACGAGAAGCCAAGTTACAGGGAACCAGGCAGAGGGCCTTCTCGGTAGTGGCACCCACCCTGTGGAATGCCCTCCCATCAGATGTCAAAGAGAAAAATAACTACCAAACTTTTAGAAGACGTCTGAAGGCAGCCCTGTTTAGGGAAGCTTTTAATGTTTAATAGGTTATCGTATTTTAGTGTTTTGTTGGAAGCCGCCCAGAGTGGCTGGGGAAACCCAGCCAGATGGGCGGGGTATAAATAATAAATTGTTGTTGTTGTTGTTGTTATAATATCTGAAGTGGTCTACAATAGCTGACCATGGCAGTGCATATCCCCTTCCTTGCTTACAACACCATTACTGCATCCCATTCAGGAAAAAAGCTAGGCTGCAGTGCATACTATACACCTGAAACACATTCTTCCTCTAATGAATCCTGATAACTGTAGCACCCACCCATTGTTTCATGACTACATGTCCATCCCTAAATGTAGAATATGTCTCAAGGCTTGACTTTACCTCCCATTGTAGAGCCTTTTGCTTCTTTCTTCTGACACTGCTCAAAGGTTGAGCACTGAAAAGTTCTAAATTTATTCAGTGTCGGTAAAGAACAAGGCCAACTTGGCTTAGTCAGGCAGAGGTTTTCAACCTTTTTGAGTCCACAACTCCCTTGACCAACTACATTCGTTCTGTGGCTCCCCTCTGGGGAAATGCATTCCAAGCCTCAGAAGCCCAGTTATGTCACCCCTTGCCTGCAGAGCCAGCAGCTCCTCACCCCTTTTCGAACACCCTCACTTGTGTAGAGTTTCCCCAGCCTCCTCTCCTCTCTCCCCTTTTTGGGAGCCCTTTGGACAGCTGTCACCACACTGTCTCACCGACTCAGGGTGCCCGTTTCCGTGTAGCCTTTGGTCCCCATAGTCCCCCCCAGAGAGTTGCCATAGCCCCCCTGTTGAGCCTGTACTGGAAGAAGGCATGCCCCCAGGCCCCACGTTGCTTAGGGCCGGAAAGGAGGGTGACAGGCAGTGATGTGAGAGGGCATCAGAGGAAGGAAGGAATGAACTAGGGTCAGAGTCCAGTGTTGCCTATGGCACCCCCAGGGTACCTCGGCACACTGGTTGAAAACCCCTGGTTTCGTGGATGCCTGCTAGTGGGTCAGTGAAAAGGCCTTTCTGTGATTCCTAAAAGCAACTCATTAATTGGATGAGAAATGCTAGTTTATACATCCTGCTTGGGAACAGGGACGTGGGTGGTGCTGTGGTCTAAACCACTGAGCCTCTTGGGCTTGCCGATCAGAAGGTCGGCGGTTCAAATCCCCATGACAGGGTGAGCTCCTGTTGCTCGGTCCCTGCCAACCTAGCAGTTTGAAAGCACACCAAAAAGTGCAAGTAGATAAATAGGTACCACTCCGGGAAGGTAAACGGCATTTCCGTGCACTGCTGTGGTTTCAGTGTTCCATTGCGCCAGAAGCGGCTTAGTCATGCTGGCCACATGACCTGGAAAAACTGTCTGAGGACAAACACCGGCTCCCTTGGCCTGTAAAGTGAGATAAGTGCCGCAACCCCAGAGTTGTCTGCGACTGGACTTAACTGTCAGGGGTCCTTTACCTTTTGGGAACAGGACTTGGAAATCTGAAAACAATTTTTGTGACATTAGTATGCGACTCTCATGTGCCTGCCTAGTCTAGTTCAATGCACAATGCTAAACAGAAGACTTGGATACAGAACTTGTCTTTGGAGATAATTTCCAAAATGCATGTTCTATATAATAAGTAAGCTGTAGAAACAAAACTGGTAAGTAAATATTTGAGCATCAGAACTGGGGATGGAAGGTCAACAACTTCCAAAGGCACAGAAAAAAGAGTGAGGTATTAACTTGCCACTGCTGCCCTGGAGGAGGTGCAGGAAATAAATTTAATAAATAAACATATTAAATACTAGGAGGGTGACAGAGCCACGCTGGTTTCCGGCTGGAAGGCATTCCAAAACTGCATCCAAAAAGTCCTTCTACTTCATGGTGGCCAGCGTGGGCAATGTGTAAGGTGGTGTTTTCAGTGGAGCCTAACTGGTAGTTTCAAACTGAGAGGTACCGTTTCACAGCGGAGGAGATATTCCTGGAGATAATTGAACCCCTGACTGTCTTAAGTCTCTCAGGCAACACGAGTATGCTTGTTTATACAACAATCCAGCAGTAGCTCTCCATGTGATGGAGGCAAATTGGCTAAGCATCATCACACACTGAAAAACTTCATCTTTATATATTGTATAGTAAAGTAAACTACTGGTATGTGTTAACCTGGTATGGTCTTATTCTGCACTATGTCCAAATACAAGATAACCTTAATTTTCTTTATAGGTTTGGTTAAGTTTCATCATGTTTACAATTTATAATATGCATGCCTTCGCTGACCGCTTTCTTGTCAGTTTTAAGTGCTCATAAAAGGTCAATCAAGGTGCTTTGAAATGTCAACTAAGATCCTCAGTTACATATATATATATATATATATAGAGAGAGAGAGAGAGAGAGAGAGAGATGACATATTCCCCTGTTGAACAAACACAACTCTACTTGTTACGTGTATGTTTCTGCAAGTGGCTACGCTTCAGAATACATCAGATTTGGAGAAATTGGATCCATAAACTTCTGTCATGCTTTGGTTGAGTAAAAAGCATTGCTAGTTCAACAAAAGCCTTTCCAAGAAAAGGAAGTCTCCTTTGACCCAGTCATTGTGTCTGACAAATGCTGACTTGCATTCTTTTTCTTCCTGTTTCTCTTGTACTGATTTTAAAGCAACCGGAAACATTGCCTCTATCTAGCCACTTTATCTTTCTCTCACGTCCAGTTCTGAAACTCGCTGTGTTGAGTCACAAAACATAATTCTGGAGGTTCTGGAGGAAAATGTGCTTTAATCAAAAGCATGGATATGTGTAGTCTTTGTACGTGGTTTGCCTTTTTACTGTACAAGCAAGATGCCAAAAAAAGGATCACTAATGCCTATCTTTTAAAAAATGTGTTATTTTGCATTAGTAGAGGCAATTTCACCCTGTCTAATTTCTTGACTTGAAAGTAGTAGCTGTGCTGTAGTCTAGAGACTGAGGCAGTTGAACTTGCCTATGTGGGGGTGGGGGATATATATATATTTAGACTAAGCAAAGATATCCTGGACATAAGGCATCCCCTGACATGTCTGTACTACTTCACCAGTTATATTAGCTATGTAACCAGAAGGATGCTCTGTACATGCAGCCAACAATCTCTTGTATGTCTCTTCGTGAAGAAGAAAAATTGCCTAGAGGCAAACGTGTCCCCATTTCTCCACAGCTGAATTTCTGACCCTGTTCTTGCGTAACAGTTTTGCTTGTTAGAAATTTGCACTGTATCTGAAGCTATATTCCCAAGGTAAGGAGAGCTACATGGCTGATGTCTGGCATTGTTGCTGCCCGTATCCTTAGCTCTTGTGTTTCACAGGTTGCCTAATGGGACATACTGCTTTCCCACCTGTTTTGGAGGTGGATTCACACATGCATTTTCCGGTCTGGCTTATTCTAGTCCTCTGGTTGCTTCCTATTAAGCAGACAACCACAACCACAAGTACAAGACACCAGCAGCTGTTGTTGCCTAATAATCTGATTTAGGTGTCGGTTCAGCTTGCATACTCCTTTTTCCACAGTGCTGCAATACCTAGCTTAAAAGTGTGGTGATGACATCTCCATGGGGCTCAGGGTGACATGCAGAAATAGTAATAGTAATATTATTCGGGTGCACTTTTCTGAGGATGGGAAACCTTGAATGGATAACCACTTTTGAAAAGTGGGAGAGGGACTGTACCTCAGTGGCAGAGCACATGTTTGGTATGTTAGAAGGTCACAGGTTCAGCTCTACCTGGAGAAGCCAGAGACTGAGAGAGACTCGTATCTGAGACCCTGAGGCACCTCTGCCAGTTGGCATGGAAAATGCAGTAAGCTTCAGGCATTGGCATACAGCTTTTTTTGCTTACGGCTTTTTATTTTGTCTTTAATTGCTCACTAGGTGATAAAGCCCTTGATGGCTACAGTAAGAAAAAGTACGTCTGCAAGCTGCTTTTCATCTTCCTCCTGGGGCATGATATTGATTTTGGCCACATGGAGGCTGTGAATCTCCTGAGTTCGAACAAATACACAGAGAAGCAAATAGTAAGTCATGTCCCATCCGTGCATAGCGTTGAGATATATATATATATACTACCCACTTCCCATATAATATTGGGGGTCAAGGGTGGGGACATTTTTCACCCTGAGGGCCATGTTTCCTTCTGGGCAACCTTCTGAAGGCCACATGCTGGTGTTGAGCAGGGCCAGAGGCAACAGTGGGTAGACCTACTAATGTGAATTACACCTTTGTGCAGTGGGCTAGTCTCTGTACATGTGTACTCTCCTCTCTGCCCTCCATCTAGGCAAGTAAGAGGCATTGTCAGAATTCAAGGATGCATTACAGTCAGCAGGCGCACAAGGGACACAAGTGGCAGCTGTCAGTGCTTGAAATTTATTTCACATTTGGCATCTAGGCATGTAGGGGTGCATCAGCAAAATATCTGTAACAGGTGTAGCACAGTAGAACTTTCAAGCAGACGCTGATGCAGAATGTATAAAACCAGAGGTGGGGACTAAATAAATTATTATTATTATTATTATTATTATTATTATTATTATTATTATTATTATGGATTGGGATAATAGACAACATTAATCATTTCTTTAATTAAATTAGAAAATAGGAATCTCTTGGTATTCAAACATAAGAGAAAATATTTCTAATACAGTACAGTACATGGTTAAAAATATATATGGCTGTTTCAGAGTTGCAGCCAGATTGTCCTATAAGCATCTGGTTTGAAAGAGAGATGCATGCTAGGGGCCCATCTCCCTTTCCCCTCTTAAAAAAATAATAATCAAGCAGAGGCTGATTAAGGTGAACTATAAGCGATGAATAAACCAGCTAGGCTTCCTTATTTCTCTAGTTATGCACTAGAGATGTACACTACAGAGAAATCCCCCTGCACACATAAATTTTCCTCTTTCCAGAACTGTCTGGATCTCATCCATTATGACTTTTAAATGCTGTGTTTTGATATGCATACATCTAAGCAGGATCCCCACCTGTCAAATTAATCTACATTTGGCTTTTATTTGTACATACTTGGAGTGAAAACTGGCCTCATTGTGACATGTCTGGCTTTTAGGTGAGGTCCTTAAACCATTATTCTTGAGAAGCCTGAATAATTCACAATCAGGAGTGGCCAGCACCGAGTGCAGGGTCTTGATCCTTCTCCCAAAGCAAATTCATCTGCCCCTGCATCCTAAATACCCATTGTTTTTTGGTGGTAGCAGCAAAAATGGGAGTGGGGAAGCATATCTGGTGCTGGGGTGGGTGGAGTGGTTTAAGCATCTCTCTCCATCCTAGAGGCCTGTTGAGGATGCAGATTCTCCTATCCCAGGCTTCCATGGTCAGCCGATCATTTGACCAAGAAGGGGGAGAGAGCATTCCCTCCTCATTCAGTATCAGGGGCTGTGACCCTGTACATGTGCATACCCTGTAGGTGTATATGCAAGAGCATGGAGGGCCACCTCAACCCCTGGCATGCAGTACCCAGAGGGTTGGCCAGGGCTGAATGCAGCCTAGGCCAACCCTGACCTGCCTCATAAATGGCACAGGAGCCATTTGTTATAAAGCAATGTTGCCTACTAAGCATTTCCCCGGCTGCCCACTACTAATTCTTCTCTTAATTCCAGGGCTATCTGTTCATCTCCGTGCTTGTGAATTCAAACAGCGAGCTGATCCGCCTGATCAATAACGCAATCAAGAACGACTTGGCCAGCCGCAACCCCACTTTCATGGGACTTGCTCTGCACTGCATCGCCAATGTGGGCAGCAGAGAGATGGCGGAAGCATTTGCTGGAGAAATTCCAAAAATACTTGTAGCTGGGTAGGTGCTCCGTGGGAATTTCAGGGGCTTGACAGAAAGAAGGCAATTAAAGTGATTCTCGGGATGCAGCCAAGTATCTAAACGTTTGCTGACTGAATGTGGAGTAACAGCCTCCTAAAGGAAATCCGTAGGAGATCCTATTCCACTCTGGAACGAGAGAAGACTCATTTGTTCCTGAAAGCTCTTTTTGGTTTGGCCCCCCTGCCTTTGTGTGGTATTGCTTTATTGCTAATTGGCTCACCGCTTTTGGTGTCACATGGATTTGAAATGTGTATCTGTTTTAACCAACTTTTTATATTAATTTGTTTTATAAAATGGTATGATGGCTGAGAATTCTTCTGTGGATACAAATTTAAACAACTGGATGGCTAAACAACTGCAATTCCTCAGGGACATCAGCCCTTTTGAAAAGTGAGAGTGCTTGCTTAAGTGCTGGCATCACATCCATTTCCTGCACCCTTTTCCTGTATTCACAGGTATATATATACACCTTTCAAGTGTTGTGGGGTGTTTTCTTAACCCGGATGTTTCCAAATGAATGTTTCTTTGGCGTAAAGGAGCCAAAATGTATTTACAGTGGTACCTCGCAAGACGAATGCCTCGCAAGACAAAAAACTCACTAGACGAAAGGGTTTTTTGTTTTTTGAGCTGCTTCGCAAGACGATTTTCCCTACGGGCTTGCTTCGCAAGATGGAAACGTCTTGCAAGTTTGTTTCCTTTTTCTTAACACCGTTAATACAGTTGCGACTTGACTTCGAGGAGCAACTCATAGAACGCGATGTGGTAGCCTTTTTTGAGGTTTTAAAAGACTTTGATGATTTTTGAAGCTTTTTCCAAAACTTTCCCGACACCGTGTTTCGCAAGACGAAAATAATCGCAAAAATCGTGGAACGAATTAATTTCATCTTGCGAGGCACCACTGTATCTACAGAGATTATATTCATACAATACAAAGCCTGCAATACAAAGCCTAACCTTGGAAAATATAGATTCTTAATAATCTGTTGTACTGCAAAAATAGGTTACATATGGCATCTCATTCATTAGACTCATGTGGTATAAACATATGCAGCTTCATAGGTTAAAGAACACAAATCCACAATCAGTGGCCTTGCCATGTTTCCTCCATATACAAATGTTCCTGCTGACAGAAACAGCATGCCAGTTTCATGAACTGGAAAGTTATGTGTACTTCGTTGCATCTGTGGCCTTCTTTTGGAGCTGACACGATGGCAGTACTCCCATGTACTTTTGGTGCTCATGTTACTGCTTGCAGTGAGTGCAACTTTGAATGTGAATGGGTACGAGCTTGTATATAGGGAAATGGTCCAGCCTTGCTGTCTTCTAGGAGCTGCCACTGAAGAATTGTGGGTGTTTGAGAACCCCTTGACCAGCTTTGGTTTTCTGTTGCAGAGACACCATGGACAGTGTGAAACAGAGTGCAGCCCTGTGCTTGCTAAGATTATACAGGACTTCTCCTGACCTGGTTCCTATGGGAGACTGGACCTCCAGAGTTGTGCACCTTCTCAACGACCAGCATCTGGTAAGATCACTTGACTAGACTAGATCTTTTTCTCTTGAAAGTGTGAATATTTGATTGTCTGGATTCAGAATTTAATTATGTAGAACCATGGAAGCAAATATTTGGCAAGTTTGCCATTGGTCAACTCCTAACGGTGAGATGTGCTACACTAATGCTTTGGGGTCAAGTTGCTTCCGGACTAGAGATGAGTGAGCTTTCAAAAGTTCTCTTCTCAATAACTTGGAATTTGCCAAATTCTTCTTTTCAAAAATCCAAACTTGAATAAGTTGTGTTGAGATAGTATGAGGGCCTATCTGGGGAGCTCTTTTTTCTTGGTCTCAAAGGAACCATCAGACTCATATTGGGGGAGGGCCCAGAAGCTAGTCCTTGTGGGTAACATGAGGACTGGCTTTCAGCCCCCTCTCCTCTTTTCGCTCTGGAAGCATCCATTTCCTTCCCCATAGGAAGTCGTGGAACTTCTTATGGAGACATGAAAATATACCTGTGGTGTGAGATTAGAAGATGTGGATGTGGGGAGTTCAAGCCTTGCTGGTTACCTGGCTTTGTCCACACAGTGGGCAAGGTTCAATTAATGTGTCCTGTCAGCAGAGGCCCTGCATAAAGACTTCTGCTTATGCAATAGGACTTTCCCCTGCTCTTCTCCCCCATATTAAGGTTACCAGACATCCCCATTTCCTGGGGACAGTCCCCGGATTTACAAATCAGTCCCCATACAAAATCCATTGAAGTTGAAAAGTGTCCCCGGAGTCATTGAAAAAAATCTGTACCCCCATATGCCCCCTCCAGATTGGCTTGGGAGGTGGAAGAGCCCCTGGAACAGTGCACAGAAGAATGGCGAGAGAAGGGGTCATTCTGGAACAATGGGAATCATTCTGGAACAATAATCTTAGTGGTGCATGATGTTGGAAGTCCTCCCATTGTGTTTTTCATGCCCACAAATAAACTAATGGAGGGAAGCAGCGCCATGAGCTTGCAATGGGATTAGGGGAAAAAATGCTCCAGGACTTCCTTTCCTGAAAGCTTGGATTTTGAGCACTTGCAGAAAGAAGTTCAGGGATTGAAAGGATTATGCCTGGCCTTCTGAACCCAGCCAGGCTCAGATGAGCATACTTCATCCCTGTTATCGCCTGGGAAAAGGCAGGAAGTGGCACAGCAGTTTGCTGAAGAGGCTTCAGGCAGTGTCATATACGGGCCAGGCTTGCCGCCCATTCCTGTCCAGGTCTGCCACAAACTCATGTGCCAGATTCCATGTGGCAAAGGAATGATCCTTAAGGTATTCAGGATCCTGCCTAGTCTTGAAAAGACACTGCAGTGCGTTTAGTGATGTTTCTGGTAATATGCATGCAGGTTACAGTCCACAGATAAGTTGCACCTGTGCCATATCTGCTTTCCTTTTGTCTTTGAGGAGAAATTGTCATTTTATACAGAGCTCCTAATGTACAGAGTGCTTTGCAAACTCACTTGTCCAAGATCCTGTGAAGTAAACAACCAGCTAGTTTTACTCTTGGTACGAGGGTGACTTATCACTAGTCACACAATCTAGGGACTGACTGGGGATTTCAGCACAAATCAAAATACAGTTTTCTGTGTGCCAGACCAGCGGCCGACCAAGAAAGGGTCTTTCCTAATTGTTTGCATTGTATCTTTGCAAAAGGGAATGAGTTATTTTCTTTCTCTCTTGGCCTTTTTTTTTTTTAAAAAAGTCTGCAGTGGATTTGGTTAATATTTGAATGCATTACCCCAATATAGGGCAAGGTCATGTACAGGCCACTTGCAGAAGGTGGCAGGGAATGCATAGCCTTTTATAACAGGATATTGGGATCCTGAGATTGTAGTTTGCCTTATTTTAGCCCATTATTGCAGGCTACGGAAGATACACATCTGCTTTTAAAAAACAATTTTACTGGAAAAATAGAAAATGATATAATCCAGAGAACTGTTGCATGAATCAATATGTATATATTTTTTAAATTAGTTGGTCATTTCAGAGTCTCTTTCTCCCTGCCCCCTCCTGCAATATCACCCAATCCTAATAAATAGTATACAGTATGGGTTGCCAAAGGAACGTGGGTGGCGCTGTGGGTAAAACCTCAGCGCCTAGGACTTGCCGATCGTCAGGTCGGTGGTTCGAATCCCCGCGGCGGGGTGTGCTCCCATTGCTCGGTCCCAGCTCCTGCCAACCTAGCAGTTCGAAAGCACCACCGGGTGCAAGTAGATAAATAGGGATTGCTTACTAGCGGGAAGGTAAACGGCATTTCCGTGTGCTGCGCTGGCTCGCCAGATGCAGCTTGTCATGCTGGCCACGTGACCCGGAAGTGTCTGCGGACAGCGCTGGCCCACGGTTTCTTAAGCGAGATGGGCGCGCAACCTCAGAGTCGGACACGACTGGCCCGTACGGGCAGGGGTACCTTTACCTTTACCTTTATGGGTTGCCAATATGGCGCTAGTGGGTGCAGTCACCCCTTTGAGGTCTTTTCCCTGGTGCCCATGAAGCTTCTGAGCACCTTCTCACTGCTGCCTTGGTGGTGAAGGCGGTCACCTTTTTCCTCCCTTGGCAAAGTACCTAGAGATGAAGGAGGAAGCTGGAAGAACGACACACTTTCCCACTTCCCTTTTCTAGTTCTATGAACTTTTCAAGGTTCCGATGAATTCTCCTCCGACATCAAATTGTGTGTGTGCATGCACTTTCTTTCCTTTCCTGTTGGGAGCAGTGGGGGCTAATCCAAAGAAAGGGGGAGAAGTGACAAGAAGAGATGGTGTCCAAGACACCCCCAAATGCAAATGTGCCCATGGACTTTTAATTGGTTGGCAACCCCTGGTATACAGAAAGAAGATATGCAGGGAAGAGGGAAGTCCTAACCATACCATTCCATACCTCTTAAATGCTAAAATGGAAATAAGGGATAGCTGGGTAAGAGTAGCCAGGTGACTGGGGGGAAAAATGGATCAGGCCATACTAAGAAAAACACAATATACTTGTCTGAAGTCATATCCCAGTTTTTTTATATAAATTACATTAATAAAACATCTAAATACATTAATACAGTTTGTCTGTTTTGAGCCAAATAAAGGATTGAATCATTTTTGAAGCAGGAGAAGAGTAGAAAGCTTTTATGCTGCCAGCAGATGCCTAAGGGCCAAACAAGGCATGATGTGGACAGTCTATGAACAGCATCTCCCACAACTTTCTTTTCTTTCTTTTCTTTTTCTTTTCCTTTCCCTCTTTGCAGCTTTGGGGGAAATTAGATTGAGATCATGACATGATGGCAGGCTGGGGGAAGGTAACTTCTCCCATTCTGGTCTAAATCCCACTCCAAGCTGCTACTTTTTCTGTAGGGGGAAAACCTTTTTCTTTTCTTTTGTCATACGGTACAAAGACTAGCTCTGATCTTGTGATCTACTTCCCCTGTGGCGTTCTTGGTGCTTGGAAAAGAGCAAACTGTGGGAGATCCTGTGCATCCAGCTTAATAGGCAATTTGGCTCTAATAATATATCTGGAAACTGAGAGACCTGTGGATGGGCTTGATGTTGGGGACTTTGGCTCTGGGAAATGGGCCCATCCTCTCACAGTTTGCCACCTTAACTATCTTTATTGAAGAGCAACACATTTCTCTTTTTGATAGAGGTGCTCGCACTCCCTCCAGCAGTTAAGACAATGCCTTCTAGGCTCATGGAGCAAGTACGATGGGAGTGAAACTGGGAGGATGGCAATGGAACTGGGGTATTTTGGGGTGTGAGGGAGGCTATACCATCTTGGATATTTGCCCTCTTTTGGTTAAAAAGTACAGCCCTGTGGTGTAAAGTATGTGTGGCATAATAAATGAAACTTAATGGTGCTCTTGGTATACAATGCATGTGCTTAGTAATTGGAACGGATTTCAGGGAGCTGTAATCCTGTTTTTCTCCAGGGTGTGGTTACTGCTGCTACAAGTTTGATCACCACTCTGGCACAAAAGAATCCAGATGAATTTAAAACCTCCGTGTCTCTGGCTGTCTCCAGACTCAGCAGGGTAAGCAATTTATTGTTTAGACGCAAGTGCTGGAATGAAACTAGGCTAAAACTAAATTAAGCTGGCTGATTAGATTAACCATCTGGTTTAGCCTCATGGGAAGCTGAAGTGCAGTTGGTATGAGAGCCGTTCTGATAGTTTGACAGGCAGAGTAGCTGAAGGCAAAGAGATGTAATTTGCTATGCAATATCTAATGCACAGTGATTGTGTTGGGCTGATCCAATCACTTAAAAAAAAATTCTTAGCTGTGCAGGAGATGGCAGATAAACACGCTTGTATAGGTATAGCTGAAATTAAATTGTAAATAATATTTTGAGGCTTTGCAGGCAAAGCCACTCCTTAATTGCAAGAAGTTTGGAAGGCCAGGGTTCCACTTCAGTAGCTACTGGAGCAGGAAGAAAATGATGCTATCTGTGATCAAGGCCTTGTAGTCAGTTTTTTTGTAGTACAGTTTGGCAATTCCATTCATTGGTTCACTACTGAACAGTCTCAATGACATTATCTGCAACAGTAATCTATTAAAAAAGAAAGCCACCTGAAGTTTCAAAGGCCAGATAAGTACAGAAATATTTCCCAGCAAATATACCTGTAGCTTTGTCTCAGGTTGGGTTGAGCCATAATGCCTGAGCAATAATGCCTGCTCAACTGTACACTTAAAGGAGTTGCTGCTGGTTGTGATGCCAGTAGCCAAAGATAGGGCTGCTGCCATTGCAGTAGTTCTTAAGATGATAGTTGCCCAGTTTTCTGCTGCACATCGTACTTAATTCCTGCAGGGAGCCAAGTCCCGCTGAGGCCTGTTTGCAAGTAGCAAGCTCTTGTTCCGCAAGGCATTCTGCCTAATCAATGCAGGATGGATTCTTGACAGTAGACACTTAGAGATTAGTGGCATGATTGGTTTGCTACTTTGGAAACTTGAACCCTAGCCAGGCTAGCCAAAGATTTTGCTGCCTGAGGTGAAGGACTAGATGATGATCTCACTCACCCTTCCATCCCAGAATCTGCACACAGAAGTAAATGGAACTGGCCATTGAATGCCAGCAATGGGGCAACATCCACCACCACATCTGAGGACAGCAGGACAGCTTAGGGGATGCATGGATGGCCATGCGGCCCACACATTGTTGTCATCTAATTTCTGGCTGCCACTCTCCACTTTCCACCCAACATCTGCCAGCTGAGGTGGCTACCTTGCTCTGCCTTATGGTATGGCCAGCCCTGGATTTAAACTTGTTCCAAGACACCCCGGAACAGCGTACGGGAAAGGAGAGGGGATTGTTCTGTCTGGCAAGCCATGCAAAATAGTCTTATGCCTTACTGTTAATCTAAACAGTCCTGACTTTCTCTTGCAGACTGTTATCTTCTTTCCTTTCCTCTTCCTTTCCACCACAATCTCCTGGATATTCAGTGTGGACATCAGTTGTTTTCCCCATTTCCCCTAATTTAACATAGAGTATTTTAAAGCTTTCTGTCCAGATTTTTTTCTATCCTTCCTGCCCCTCCTGCAGATCTCAAGCACAGTCTTTTATCTGCCCTTCCCTTGAAAAGCATGATGTAATTGAGAATCTGCTGTCCCTCAGCAGAAAGTACAAAAGGCATATTCAAGCACCGTACACTGGTTTGATACAGCTGAGTTTGGGAAAATCTGTCTTGTTGTCTGGTCTAAAAACGTTATCGTTCTAAATTCCTCCTCGCCCAGAACTTCTGCCCAGCTGTATCTGCCTCTGTCAAATTTCCTGTTGTCTTCCCTTGTGGAAATGCTCCCATCATCCTGGCCCATTCATCATTCAGAAGAACAAATTAACAGCCTTCCTGAGTCAACCCAGCCTCCTGCAACAGAGATTTGTTGGGGTTGCTTGCTGAGGGCATATATGATCACACAGAGCTGTAATGGAGAGCTTGCAGCTACAGTCTCTCACTTCCTGCTTTGAGTTGTTGGTCTGTCCTCAGACAAGTGACTGGCAATCACTGATAATCTCTCTTGTGCTGCCAGGTTCCTCCCCACTCCCGTTAAATTGCTATTGAAATAGGAACTTGAAGTTTATACAAATGATGAATTGTAGCACTTGTGTGCTCATTCCAATCTATTGTTCCTTTGTTCTACTATTATGTGAACTAGCTGTTGTTATGATGTAACTAACTAGCAACTACTGGTGATACATTCATGTACTGCTTGCAAGCTGCCCATGGGAATCTGGTTGAGAACAAGATGCTAGACAAGATGGAGCTTGGGTCTAATCCAGCAGAGCCTTTCTTATGACTTTCCATCTTCTTCCAACATATTCATGATCTTGCCGATCTCTAGCATATTTCCCCCTCTACGTTTCTTCTCTAGTGGTTGCTTGCTTGTCTTTGAGCTCCCTGACAAGCCCTCCACATTGCCTTACTCAGTCTTTTCCCTCATGGGCCTTGTCTTGCGTTTTTTAAGGTTCAGCATCTTTTTACTATGGCTTATTATTATTATCAATTAAGCTGGACAAAGCGCCACAGGGAAATGACAGTTCTTGTCTTGCAGATTGTGACGTCTGCATCGACTGATCTTCAGGATTATACCTATTACTTTGTCCCAGCGCCGTGGTTATCTGTGAAGCTTCTAAGGCTGCTGCAGTGCTACCCACCCCCAGGTAAAGTAATTGCAACCACTCTGCTTTCACACTTTGCTTACGCAGGAGAGAAGCCATTTGCACTAAAACAGCACATGTTTGCAGAAAGAGAGAGAGGTTCAACTAATGAACCCCACGGCTAAGTCTGCTGCAGGCATAATATTCCCAGTATTTCTAACTATGGTTTCAATCTAATTATCTAATTATGTTGAAACCATGAGCAAATGTTCTGGCAACACCATAATCAAATCAAACTTGATAACTGAATAACCCATGTAGTGGTCTTTGGTTTAATTTTTGGTACTTGGCTCTTTCATATCAGTGATTCTGTAATGATCGAAGGATAAACAACTAACTTTGCAGAACCAAAATGCTGGTGCCATATGCAGCTTTCTGAAACTGGAGAAACAATGCCATCTAATGGGCATTTAATGGTTTGATAGTAAAGGCTGTCAAAATTGCCTGGTGGTCTTGCCTAACCGTTCTATTTCTCCCAGAAGATCCTTCAGCAAGAGGTCGTCTCACCGAGTGTCTGGAAACTATTCTTAACAAAGCTCAAGAGCCTCCAAAATCCAAGAAAGTACAGCATTCAAATGCGAAGAATGCAGTGCTATTTGAGGCAATTAGTTTAATTATCCACCATGATAGGTAAGTTTGGCATTCATAATGCATGGCTGGCAGTAACAGTTTGAGATGTGAGCATCAGTTCTATTGTCCTAAATGTGTGGTTTCTGAGAAAGTATATACTAATTTTGTATTCTTCTGTTCTCTGAAAGAGGGTACAGTATGTACTTTTTCCACGGTCATTCTGGCAAATGTCGGAGCAGCTCCTGAGTGAAAAACAATTATGGGAGTAGTTTTTGTTCTGGACTTTAGCATTACCCATGTGTTGTAAGTTTGTAACCTTGCTAAATGTACTACTGAAGTCCTTCCTCACCTTAAGACCATTTAAAAACTTACGACTGAGAGTTGCTTGGCTCAACTAAACAGGATACTGGCAGGACCCAGTCAATGTCCCATGCATTTCCTAACAGTGGATTGTGTAGTACATGCACATTGGGGTGGAAGGAGAGACCCCCTGAATAATCCCATCCTCCATCCAAATTGTCCAGTTTTGGAGCTCTACTGGGATAAAATGACTTCTATTGGCCTTTGTTTACCTGATGCCTTCCAGATGTTTTGGCCTACAACTCCCATCAACCCCAGCCAATATGAGTTATAGCCCAAAGCATCTGGAGGGTGCCAAGGAGGTGACGGTTGACTTGAGAAGTTTTCATTGGTAGTGTTTGATACTATCCTCCTATCCTCCCTCTGCCCTGCCACGTATTAAGGATGTACGAGCACCTGATTCCACACGCAAGTCTCCCACACTCTCCTGTTTTAGCCCTACCTGGGCTTGCCTTTGCTCCTGTGTTGAACAACATGGGAATAAGGAGTTGGGCTACACCAAGTAGCCTAATCCCTGACATTGGATGTGTCCCCCTCCCCCTGATGTCTGCACAACTCCTCTGATGTCAGGGGAGTCGAGGGTTCCAGATTCCGTGAAAGCCTTTGTGCATACAGTTCTATGTACATGGGCCCCCTCCCTGCAGATGTTTGGGCTGTAAGTTCAGACATTGGGGGAGGTGTGTACAATGGATATGACAACAAGCAGACAATCTGAAGATGAATTCAGTGATGTACGTTGCATTCCTTCCTTCCCATATGCAGTGTGCATCACACTGTGTCTTACGTCTTTTAAAAATGAAAAAACCCCACCTTTTTTTAAAAAAAAGACAAATAATAGCTATGATTCCTTTTAGTCCTTCACTTGAGAGCATGTAAATCTTTGAAATTGGCTAAAAATACTGTGTGTGTGTGTGTGTGTGTATTCTACTGAAACCTCCTTGCTGCCACTAGAATAGCACAACTGATAACATTGTTTTATAAGCTGCTACAAGCATTTATTTTATATTCTTGGCTAAAATTTATTTTATATTCTTGGCTAAAATCTATGGTATGTTCTATGCAACCTATTCCCCCTTGCAGACTGTTACTTGTATAGTTTGGCTTTATTCCTCTGTTAATGGGGAGAGGTTGCTTCCTATGCTGCTGTAGGTAACATACGATGCAAGACGGGCTGATGTTACTACTTCAACCAAAGGCTGAAATCCCTCGATGCAGGATGGCTCTCTTCCAGTCACAGTATTCTTGGCCCCTCCCACATCGTTGCATCAATTACACATTTCAGGAGCCGTGTGAGAGGTCACTATGCCTTCCCTCTATTATAAGAACTGTACCTGAGGCCACCATTGTGTTATCGGGACACGGCAGGATCCCAGACTCTGCAAAGCTCCTGATAAGCTTCCAGCTTTTAAAATAGAATCTTAATTACCTAAAATAGAATTTTAATTACTTCCTGCAATATGTAGCTGTGCTGCTACTAACCCTCCAAAAGGTATTAGCTGCAGTTTTGAAGCTCCTGTAGTGAAGGTACCTCTTGGTACCTAACTCTTATTAATGTTTTCCTCGATGCACTTTCCTCACCCAAATTCTGTCTTTTCTTTTTCTTTTTTACCTTTCCCACACACTCTCTTCTGCCTAGTGAGCCAAACCTGCTTGTCCGTGCCTGTAATCAGTTAGGCCAGTTCTTGCAGCACCGGGAAACTAATCTTCGGTACCTAGCACTGGAAAGCATGTGCACGCTTGCAAGCTCTGAGTTTTCACACGAGGCCGTGAAAACGCACATAGAAACAGTTATCAATGCACTGAAGGTAACTATTGGATCTGTGTATTAACCTGAAATTTGGACTTGATTTTTTAAAAAACAAAGCAAAACCAAACCATGTATCTGTGTGGGCTTGCTGCTTTGCATTCCAAGAGCAGCAAGAGTTTTATTCATGCAATAAAAAGGATGTGGAGTGGTCTCTTCATTGGAAGCTCTTTAAAACATAATGAACGGTAAAGAGAGGCTTCACATCCATCAGTGGGCCTGTGCTTGAACTGCAGCCTGAATCACGTGCCACTGTCCTGGGATTTAACATGTTGAACAAGGGAGTGTTGGTTAGAAGGACAGAGGGCAATTGAGGGGAATGACGATGCCTCTGAGGATGCTGGAGGTGAGGAGGATACCAGAGAAAAGCACCTAGCTGAAGAGAAAGAACGGATTAAGGATGCTTAATTTTCTTTCTCTGTTTTCCTCCCAAATGACTATCGCCATGCAGCTAGAGCTGGACTTGGCTTTAACCTCTTGCCCTTGCCACTAAAATTAATGTACAGCAACCCACCGTCCCACAGGGAAGAGACCCAATACAGTAGTTGGTGGGTCTCACCGCTACCTCCTGTATCTGGATCCTTGTTCTTTTCTGACCCGTTCCTTCCTGCAGTTCATGGTGCCCTTGGATGCATCAACGTCACCACAGTCTAGTTCTTAATACTTTCTAGTCGAAGTATAAAGCAGGGGCCACCAATCTCTTTTGGGGTCTATGATATCATTTGGATTTTTGAGCAAGTGCTGTGGATGCCACCCGCGCTGCTCACTTATCATTTCTGTCTCCCAGATTAGCTCCTCCCCATGAATAAGAAAGTGTCATGCGCACATTTTTTTTTTGCTTTTCCAAGGGATCTGGGTAAAAGTTGGATCCTGTAGAATTCATCTGAACCATAAAAAGCATATAGAGCTGGAAGAGGAAGTAGGGTAGAGTGTCAACACTTCTACCTTCTTCCCTTAGATCTCAGCACCCACCTTCTGACAAATATGTGACAAGCCACTCTCTCCACTTAGGGCTCAGAGGCTTTGTGGCACCAGAGAGAGACCCCGGAGGGACCCTAGATTGAGCTACTACTAGCCATTGCCCCAGGGGTGGAGAACATGTAGCCTTCCGTATGTTGCTGAACTAAAAACTCCCATGAGACCCAGCCAGTATTTGGGAGACCTCAAGCTCCCCAACTCTGCGTTACTGCTACTTTTCTTGCATAGTTTGTTGGCCCCCTACTGAGGAGTCTTGTGTGGGTACAGCCGGGGGTGGGGTGGGGTGAATGTCTTGGTGTCATTCATTACATGGTTATCCTTCCCTTGATCCACGACTCTTAATTAGTAATATTTAATAAATAATCATTCCACTTAAAATTGTTTTCCTGGCTTTGACCCCAATTGGGATGAAGCCAAGTATCTTGTTTCTTGTTATAAATGCTGTTTAGGATTATTGACTTCGAAACAAATGCCGCCTGGTACTGATTCTAGGTGCAGTTCAGGCGCTAGTATCTGTAGCATGGGCACTGCGATAGTCTGCTTAAAAATTTGGACACGTCTTAATTGTTGTTTCCCCAAATCTCTCCCTTTGTGTTGATCTTTTATCATTGTGATGTCCTTTGCAGACAGAGAGGGATGTAAGTGTGCGACAAAGAGCGGTGGACCTCCTGTATGCCATGTGTGACCGAAGCAACGCCCAGCAAATTGTAGCTGAAATGCTGAATTACCTGGAAACAGCTGATTATTCTATTAGAGAAGAAATTGTAAGTAATAATAATAATAATCTGAGCTGTCTTCACAGTTGAGTGCTGCTATAAATTTAGAGCTGCAAGATGACATCAACTTTTGCTAAGATAAACATAGCATCTGACAATTTCAGTGTGACTACTATGTACAAATGCTAATTCCAGTATCTCGTCAACTCTGTGCTGACTTCTAGAGGAGTAGCCATAATAAATTTATTTTAAGGTGCCACAGGTGACAATCTTTTGGTTGCTGTTTAAAGTAGATGGCAGAATTTCTTGCATTAGGTTTATTAAACTGTATATGATCAGTCTAATCACAGTAAAATGTGCTTTGCTTTTACTTCAGTTGATCCTAAAATATATTGTCTCTGGATCACCCTTTTACATTTGTTTAAGGTATTAATCAATATTGGATATGTTGTACTGAGGAGGGTATTTATAGTAACTAGTTTGGATGAAATGAGAGATGTAGGAACAGTGCTATGTTTAGTTTTCCTTTATTTTTTTGAATGGATAGGTGTTAAATGCTGTAGAAATTCATTGTTTGAATGAAGTTGCTTCATAAGTTGGTGTTGTGTGTGTTTGCTCAGGTGCTGAAGGTTGCGATTTTAGCTGAGAAATATGCCGTGGACTACACTTGGTATGTGGACACCATCTTGAATTTGATTCGAATCGCTGGAGACTATGTCAGTGAAGAGGTGTGGTACAGAGTCATCCAGATTGTAATTAACAGAGATGATGTGCAAGGGTATGCAGCAAAGACAGTCTTTGAGGTAAGAAATAATTATTGTTTGGAAGCCTTTTTCTTCCAGCATCTCACTGTAAACTAGTAATGAAAGCCAAGTGGTAAGGAATAATTCTGGTCCAGGTGGATGTTTGACTTCTTTCATCATTTCTCTTTGCTGACATTTTCTGCTTATGCTCTTTTCTTACTTGCTTCTGACACTTCTGCAGCTCTGTAACTTTGCCTTGTCCCTTCCCTTAATTTCATTTTTAGCAATAGACCCACAGGGTATGACCTTTTCATTGTACTAATGGTGTATTACTTACATGGAGAAATCCTTGTCTCAATGAAAATAAACATAAAGTTTGAATTGGGAAATGTTTTTGAGGCACTGTGAGGGGGGAGAGAATTGTTCCATGTGAAAATTTGTGTAAACTTCACTCCTTAGTGGATGAGGCAGCGGTTGCCTAGAATGAGGAAGAATGAATGATGGATGATGATGCCAAGGGGCCAATAAACTTTGATAAACTGTCTTGTGAATGCCACAGATAATTACACAATTATTACTGCCTGCACTTCCCTGCATTTTATTTCTGTTAACTACTCTCTTTCTCTTTCTTCTTCTTCTCTCACTCTTATATATGCTTCTCAGGATAACACTTAATGCATCTGATGAAGGGGTCTGCAGCCCACAAAAGCCTATATGCCATAATAATTTTGCTAGTTTTTTAAAGGTGTAAAAGAGCCAATTTGATTCCCTCCCTCCCTCCCTCTCTTTCTTTTTTCTTTTCCTTCTCCTCCTGCAATGAAGCTACATTTTAATATTTTAATGTTCCATTATTTTAATGTTGTATTTTATTTTTGTTTTTAAGTTGTAATCATTCTTCTTGTTTTTATTATTGCTTGTAAGCCGCTCTGAGCCCAGCCTTGGCTGGGGAGGGCGGGGTATAAATAAAAAATTATTATTATTATTATTATTATTATTATTATTATTATTATTAGGTGGCACAAGACTCTTCGTTATTTGTAATGCTGGTGCTTTCTCTACATTGCCCAAAGATGCTTACATTGAAATAGTTTTATTAAAAATGAAATTTAGAAAGACTGGAATATTCCAGTTCTGAATCTAAGAAATTATCATTGGCTAGCGATGCAAATAACTTTTCTATAAACACCTCAATAGTTTGAAGTAGCACTTGGCCAAAGTGTTGTAGTTATAACTGTTAGGGTGGAAGGTCAAGAACTGGTGCTGTCTTCCTACTGAGTTGAAGTGACCTTTGCACTTGGGTGACTGCTGTCACTTAGGTATGCTGTATCCAGGTTGGCTAATAATCCTTTTAGGCTCTGGGTACCTGGCCCTCTTTCCCTGTTAGGAGCCGCTGCTGTCAAGAGTGCATTATCATATGCACCCCAGTGCCGCCACCCCTCTCAAAGGCCAGGTTGGCACTTTCTTTCTTCTTGTCAAGATTAACTAGCTGTCTTGCACGAGTTGTGTACTTGAAACTGATCCTCGCTCTGCAGGCTTCTGATAAGACCCCTCTGTTTTGAGCAGCTTTCTGCACAAATTGCACTACTCCCTGACACAATGAGATAAACCTGCCTTGCTGCTAAGAGCTAATCTTCCATCTGTTCCTCTAATCTGTTGTGTTGTGATAGCACAAGCAAAAAATGTTTTGAGCATGAAAAAGTTATTTGCCTTTCTTATTTCTCTTAAGTTAGCCTTATAGTGGTGGCTTTGGAGGAGAGAAGAACTTGGCCATGCCAGGAAAATAATAATAATAATAATAATAATAATAATAATAATAATAATAATAATGCATTATATCCTGCTTTGCTGTGATTTGTTTGTTTCAAAAGCTTCTCTGAGAGCTTTGACTGACCAGTACCTAACAAACACTTTTAAAGGGTTTATGTATTATGCTAACTTTCGGAACCTTTTTTAAAAAATGGGATCTTTTCTCTTCCCACCTCCCCTTGCAAATATCTCCTTTTGGGTCTGTTTCTTTTATTTCTCTCTCTTAAAATATATTACTATTTTTAATTAAAGCTGTTAACTCCTTTTGTGATTTCTGGTCAAAAAGTAGGATATACATCTAAGAACGACAACTTTTCCAATACATTGGGCAGGAGTAAAAAGGAGGGCAACTAGTAAACAGATTTTCCTCATTCCATTGTGTTTGTACTGCTTGTACAGATGCAGGAAGCTAGCAGTCCATACCACAGAATGGAACAGAACGTTCCTCCTAGAGCGGCAGAAGTTACTTTCATGTTTAAAGTGTTGTTGCAGAGTGCAGGGGAGAGGGAGGACTGTAAACTCTTATCTCCAGTTCAAGCATATCTTCCCCACATACAGCACAATATCCTCCAAATAATGCCAGCCGTTTAGTATCGGTTTGGAAGAGACCAGTAGGTTATTGGATTCAGACTCATAACTTCTTGCCACCCTGCTCTCCATGTGTGAGTCCAGTTTGCCCCTTCACCTGTGCCTATATGCACAATGCTGGACCAATACTCAAATGAAAACCAAGCTGCATGCCAAGGGACCCCAGACCTTCAGTCACTAGCCAATCCTAGATTATAAGGAAACTCCTTCCAACCCAGTGGAGATCAGGCAGGCCTCATGTCTCTCAGCTGGTAATCTTGCTCTAATCAATATCATGTTTCTAGTTGTGACACTCACTGATGCCCTGGAGAAAAGGGAGAAACCCTATGTAGACACTACTGTGAGGCACCCAAATAAAAATTCAAAAAAATCCTGAATCTTCATCAGCGCTAATGTTTTAGGTGCATGCATTTACTGAGTCTAGCAACTTTATGATGGGCTTCAAATGTCTTCAACAGGCGCTTCAAGCACCGGCCTGCCATGAGAACCTGGTAAAAGTAGGTGGCTACATCTTGGGAGAGTTTGGAAATCTGATTGCTGGGGATCCAAGATCTAGGTAAAAACACTCTCTTGAACCTGGGGTGGCAACAAGGAATTAATAACTGTGGCATAATAACTATGCAGCCAATTTTAAAACGGTCTATCTACAATAATAATTTGTGATCTTTCTGTCATTCTAGACAGCATACTCACTTGCCCAGTATGTCTCCAGAGCTTTTGGCTCTGCCCCTCCTATGTTCCTCTCCTCCCAGAGTGGGGGCCCTTGAGTCAGGAGTCCCTGATACCGCATTTTTGTTAGACATGGCCCATGGAGAATTTATTAGGATAGCGCTCAATGTGTGCAGAAGGACATGTGGCTGTGAGGAGAGAAACCATGCTTTGTGTTTAAAGTAACAATTCTGTAAACTAGTGGATGAAATAGGATTCTGAGATCATGGCAAGAGAAATTTCATTACTTAAGTACAGTGGTACCTTGGTTCTTGAATTTAATGCGTTCTGGGAGTCCGTTCGACTCCCGAAACGTTCGAAAACCAAGGCACGGCTTCTAATTGGCTGCAAATCATTGTCAACTCGCAGTTTTAATGGTGACTTTGTTCTTGTTCCTTTTTCCTCTCTTTTCCTCCCTTCCACCCCAGCCCCTTTGATCCAGTTCAACCTGCTGCACTCAAAGTTCCATCTATGCAGTGTTCCAACCAGAGCGCTACTTCTGTCTACGTACATAAAATTTGTGAATTTATTTCCTGAGATAAAAACAACTATTCAGGATGTGCTGCGCAGTGATAGCCAACTGAAAAATGCTGATGTTGAGCTGCAGCAAAGAGCTGTTGAGTACTTGAGACTCAGTACAATTGCAAGTACTGACATCTTGGTATGTATTCACACGAATGTGAAGTTAATTCTTGGCAGCTGTGTCCAGAAATATTGGCCCCCCTTTTTTTTACACCAGCCATAATTGTGATTGGTGGTTTTTTTTTGGGTGGGGTGAAGGGGGTTGTTAATTGATTGTAGCAAATGGGATAATGTAACATACACCATGTGGGGGTTATACTTTAAGACAGAGGTTGGGAAACATGATCCTCCATGTTGGACTCCTACCAGCCCAGCTAACATGGCCGGTGATCAAGACTGATGGGAATTATAGACTAGTGGCAACAGGGGGGCTAGAGATTCTCCATTCCTCCCTTAAGAAATCACAGTGTTTTTTCCTACCTCTTCCAAGTATACATGCTCTGGTCTCTTATGGCTTGTTTTCCCTATAAGGCAACGGTGCTGGAAGAAATGCCCCCATTTCCAGAGAGAGAGTCCTCCATTCTGGCTAAGCTCAAGAAGAAAAAGGGCCCCAACACAGTTACTGACTTGGAAGAGACAAAGAAAGAGAGAAACTCTGATGTGAATGGGAGCACAGAAGCTACTCTTGTAAATGCCAGCACAGTGGTAGGTTGGTTTCAGCAGCGTAACATACCAGTTCTTGAAGCCAGGTTGATTATAAGGGAAATGGAATGTCTGCATATAACACTAGTGGAGAGGTCTCCTTCCAGACCTTAACTATACTGGTACCCTGGCAACAAGGAAAGGCCAATTTGGATACGCTTCAAAACCCAAATTAATTTGCTTTATGAATGGCTGGGTTAGATATTTTCTCAGTCGTTTTTCTATACATTTTGGTCATGCCATGCCACTGGGCCAGTTTCTTGTATTGAGATCTAAACCCCAGAACAACTTGGGTCAGGGTTACCTTGCGACTGTCTGGGCCCGTATATCTTAGCTCAATCACTGAGATCATCCAAAAGATCACAGTTAGTTTTGCCTTGTGTTTCGGAAGCCCTATGGGCTTTAACTAGAAGTTAGGCAGGCTTCCAGTCCCAAGCTGTGGAATATTCTTCCAGCAGAAATACAACAGGTAGCCTCACTGCTAACCTCCAGGTGTCTCTTGAAGACTTCTTTGTGTCGACAGGCCTGTTCCGTGGTTTAAGCTTTTCAGATGAGTGGGCCATTTTTATCATCATTTTGTATTTTTTTAAAATGGTATTTATATATATACTTATAAACCTTGTTGTACACTACCCTGAGATTATATATAAGAGGGTGGTCTATAAATATTTTTATAAATATCAATATTATACGTACACAGACAGGTGGGTCTTATTCCCAGTCTAACAATGTGTCCATGTTTGATTTAATGGAGTGACACTGGGCTATTCTTGATGAGGTGGCTTTCAGTCATGGGTACTCCTATTAATCTCTCTGGGACTAAAAATCAAAATGTAAGAAGCCTGTGAGTTTACTCCTGAGAGGAAAAGTATACTGAGAATCCAGGAGTGGGTTGCAAGAGACACAGCAACATGCCAGGCTTCCTCTTCTTATGACTTTTCCTCCTCAGCAAGTTCCTTTCCCCTTTAGATCTTATACCTGTGATAACTGCTTGTCTGCTCATGTTTTCATTCCGTGTTCAAATTGATTTGCTGTCTCCTTTTCTGATAACGTTAAATGCTTTGTGGGTTAAGGAATGGGATGTTATTGCGAAATCAAATTAATGTGATGAACGACACAGTTTTCTTAATGAAAGAACTTCACGTTGGCTGGGGAAAGTGAGCTGGGGCCTTGGCCCCGTTTGTATCTTATCAGCAGACATGCTTTAATCACAGAACTTTCCTGTTGTCTCTTACAGTCTACTCCATCTCCTTCAGCAGACCTTTTAGGACTTGGCACAGCCCCCACGACAAACTCTGTTCCAGCCCCAGCATCTAGTGGCAGTTTGTTGGTAGATGTGTTTTCGGACACCTCTGCAGCTCCCGCATCTCTAGCTCCAGGTTCTGAAGATAACTTTGCAAGGTACATAATAAATCTAAGCATCATAGGAGTGGTGGGAAGCAATTGTTCCCCCTTTCTCTTTCCCAGCTACTACCAGGTTCCCTTCTTGCATGTTTCACTGAGAGAGATTGGCAAGTCATCTTAACTCATGTATGACACTATTCACCTTGCTAGGATTGGCCACACTTTTTTATTTTGGGGGAAGACATCTTATTCATCACATAGTAGTCTGGGCACTGGATGTCACTTTCCTGTAAATCTTAAATATCTCTTCCATATAACTGGAAAGCATTTTTCTCTCTGTGGCTGAATTCTCTTGATTGTAGAATTGGATAGGGCTGCACACACATAAAATTTCATGGAGGGCCAGACCTGGCCCACCAGCCACAAGTTGATCACCCTTCCTTTAGGGTAAGTGCATGCATGGCAATGAGAAAAATCATAATGGTATTAATTAAATATCTGATTAATAGTAATAATAAAAAGGATGAATACAATCAAAATATTTTGATGTGGGGACAGCAGTATTTTGCTCTAGTTTGGTAGTTTCTCCTGTTGCATGTGTGAACCCCCCCTTTTAAAAAACACACCAAACTAATGACATTCCTTCTCTGTCCGTTAAATCAAGTACTGGTAGCTTTATGAAACATCACTGGTCAGGTCTCTTGATTCAACAAGTGCCCACTTGCAGTTTTGCACTTGCCAGCACCTTCACATAAAGTTCTTAGTGCAATCCTGCAGTGTTGCAGCCTGAGTTTGGGAGTTGTCTTTATTTATTTTAAACATTTAAACCGTTGTCTTAAAAGGCAGTGTAGAAAAACTTGAAAATGCTTGAAGACAAATGTCAAGCTCTATCCATAACTCAGAAGAGTGCTGCAAAGTTGCAACGTAGTGGACAACCTTGAGCAAAGCCATTTCAAGAACTGGGGTATTTGATAAGAGTACATAAATACCACCAAGGGGGGAAATTCTCTCAAATTGTTACTTGAGTTTCTTTGTGTTCAATAATTCAGGATTGTGTGTGCAAGCAAATTTTAGATTTAGTGTATCTATAGATCGGAATCCCAACATTGCTTGAATGGACTTCCAGTTCTGCAGTAGGACTTCAACCTTCCCATTGCACATGACTAGCACAGGCCTGTTCCGCTTGTGCCCAAACACTGTTGGTTACAACCCACTGAGTCTTTCTTATAAGCTATTGGAAATGGTGCTCTTACGCTGCAGCCCTGTACCCACTTACCTGAGAGTAACAGCAATTAATAATAATGATAATTTTATTATTTATACCCCGCCCATCTGACTGGGCTTCCCCAGCTACTCTGAGCAGCTCACAGCATATATCATAACATATATGCATCAGGCATTAAAAACTTCCCTAAACAGGGCTGCCTTCAGAAGTCTTCTAAAAGTCAGATAGTTGTTTATTTCCTTGACATCTGATGGGAGGACATTGACAGGGGGGGGCGCCACCACCAAGAAGGCCCTCTGCCTGGTTCCCTGTAACATCACTTCTCGCAGCGAGGGAACCAGCAGAAGGCCCTTGGAGCTGGACCTCAGTGTCTGGGCTGAACGATGGGACTTCTTTTTCACTAAGTAGGTCTAAGATAGTGCTGTTAATGGAGTTGGGAGGAGGGATTTTTCCTCCTCAAGTTTTCCTTTCCTTACTAACTAACCTCTCCCTTTCTGTGTGCTGCCTCTTCTCTTCTTTTCTCTTCTCTTTTCGTCTCTTTCTGCTGCTTCACTTTAGTCCTGATCTATCTTCAAATGAGCAGGTGGTTTCTGAGGAACCAGCTGATGCTGTGCATGATGCTGATGAGCTTTTTCACACGTAAGCAATACTAAATCCTTGCAGGACTGGGCAACTAGTACAACTTTTTACTTTTTTTTAAGCACATCATTTCAAATGATTTTACTTGTTGCTGCTTGTTGTGGCCTGAGTATGATCTGCCTTGGAGCAGGCGTGATCAAAATGTGCATGTGAATCGTCATAGGGAGAACAATCTTTTTATCTTCCTATCCAGTTTTTTTAATGTAATCCAGGAAGGTAACTGAAAAGTAGCAAGCTTTTTTAGAGTCTAAGAAAGGCAATAGAATTGCTTGTAATGGAAGCTGTAATGGAAGTTTACATGTTGCCTAATTGCAAAAGCTGTGGGCTGGTTCTACTTGATATTGTAGTCAAGTGGTGAACATGCAGGTATGAGGGAGTCCTCACACAACTATCTCTTTAAATACAATGCGGCATTGTCATTTCACACATCCTGCATCTGGAGGCTGAATGACACACACACACACACACACACACACACACACACACACGTGTATTTGTGAATCGGCCCTATGATACTCTCTGGCAGTCAACATGCAGCATATTCTGGGATAGAGCTCTGCAGTGTTGATGAGTATTCAAAGGAATCAAATATCGAGGCTTTGGCTCTTACAGTGTGCTAGAATGTCTAGTCTTGTCTTCAGGAAAAATAGTGAAGTAAGAACCAAGACTGTGCCTGGGTCCTAAACTCTTACTAAACTAAAGTAACGCAAATGCTGTTATTTGTTGTGCATTTTGTAAAGCAGTTTGCAAGGTCTGCACACTCATAGCATTCCCGTGAGCTAGGCTGTCGATCCTATTTTACAGAAGAAATACTGAGGCTGCATGTTTTGTCCAAGGTCACTTAGTAGATCTCCAGACCATAGCTAGTTTGTACTGTTTCTCCCACTGGTCTAATCCACATAATTTACCTAATACCTAATACAATCCTTTGCCTTGGGCAACCACAATTTGGCAACCACCATAATCTAAAGTTCTTCATAATGCATTGCTGTCTGTCTTCTGATTCATTGCGTTGGTAAGTAATTGATGTTTGAAGCCTGAGCTAATTAGTCTTAGCTGGAAAAGAAAACACCATGCCTACCCCAACTTGGCAATAGTTAATACTTAGAATGGCACCAAGCAAGTGATATGCCATTTTAATGTTTCTAAGATGCCCTAGGGGATATTGTCATGTCTTTCAAACTTCAGTCTTTTGCTCCTACCAGTTGCCCAGTCCTCAGAGCATGGATGTTGTGGCTCCTTAACCCTTCCCCCCAATGTTTCTGTGATTGGGGCAGCTTGGAATAGTTGAGGAATAAAGCAAATTTTGCAAGGACTATGTGACTTACAGCTTACTTCTTGATTTTGATTCTATCTTGGTTCTTGCTTCTTCTTGATTTCTTCTAATATTCCTGGGTGCACAGATATCTGTCTGCATCCTTTCTATCTAAAGCAGTTGGTAACAACATGTGATTTATCTAAAACACAATTCCTATATTGTGCCTGCTTCTCTTTTTCTAGGTTTGTTTGCAAAAATAATGGAGTCTTATTTGAGAATCAGTTGCTACAGATTGGTTTGAAATCTGAATTTCGGCAGAACTTGGGTAAGAACAACACAGGTTATGATAAACTGCATTCTACAGTATTACCTTAGGTCCTATTTTTGTAAGAAGTGTCATGTTTGGGCCCCTAATGAAATATTGCTGGGCCTTTGTAAGAATGTAAGAAAAGCCCTGCATATTATAATTAATTCCTTTTCAAGCTTAAGTAGGCTTGGGTGGTGGTTTAAATAAAACACTCATAAGTGTTGCCTTGTTTCTTTGCAGGTCGGATGTTCATATTTTATGGGAACAAGACTTCAACACAATTTTTGAATTTTACTCCAGCGCTAATCTGTTCAGATGAACTCCAGGCTAATATCCTTTTGCCACTTGATATCTCTAACAAGAGAAATAAATATTGTTCTTAAGCACAGGAATCAGACTGTATGCTGCAGGGACTGCAGTTTAGTAGGAAGAATTGGAGAACATTGGGCAGAAGTGTTCATTGCATTTCTTGGGGGACCACAATACAGTGGTGCCCCGCAAGACGAATGCCTCGCAAGACGAAAAACCCGCTAGACGAAAGGGTTTTCCATTTTTGAGTTGCTTCGCAAGACAAATTTCCCTATGGGTTTGCTTCACAAGACGAAAAGCGATTTTTCCCCCCTCCCCCCCTTTTTCTAAGCCGCTAATAGCCGCTAAGCCTTTAATAGCCGCTAAACCGCTAATAGCGCTAATCCGCTAAGCTGCTAATAGGGTTGCTTTGCAAGACGAAAAAACTGCTAGACGAAGAGACTCACGGAACGGATTATTTTCGTCTTGCGAGCCACCACTGTATAGGGAAAGGTGATTTAAGGATAATCATATCAGGAAGGTAGACTGGTTCTGTGTTTGACCTAGAAAAGAAAATCCCTTCTCTTTAGAGTGGTACCTTGGGTTACAAACACTTCAGGCTACAGACTCTGCTAACCCTGTAGTAGTACCTCAGATTAACAACTTTACCTCAGGATGAGAACAGAAATCGTGTGGCGGCAGTGGGAGGCCCCATTAGCAAAAGTGGTACCTCAGGTTAACGGTTTCAGGTTAAGAACAGACCTCCGGAATGAATTAAGTTCGTAACCAGAGGTACCACTGTACTAGGCATTATGCAGGCAGAGTTCCTTGGTTTTAAATTATTTGTTTAAATGACAATGTTTATGGAGCCTGTGGCTGCCCCTCTAGTGTCAAGGGATCCCCCAAAATGTTCTGTCTCTCAAATGTTGTCACGTTACTCTTGAAGATAGCTGTCATGCAAACCTGACTTTTTTTTAGATTCTAAAATACCTGTATGTTATGATTATTATTATGAATGCAATTTAATATGCATTTTGGGAAAAATATTAAATAGCTGCTGCAGGGGATCATGAGCACCATGGGGAGTTCAGGAGATAGAGATAATGTTTCCTATCCGCTGCTGTGATTCTGGCAAAATGCACCCCGCAAACTGTTGTTTGTGTCAGGAGGCTTCCCTCTTGATGCAAAGAGCAGGGTATGTGAGTAGGTGCATGCCTGATTTTTCAATTTGAAGAGGAGGTTAAAGAGAGACACCAAAGCTGCTTTCAAATATCTGAAGGGCTGTTGCACCAAAGATGGAGCAGGCTTGCTTTCTGCTGCTCTGGAGAGCTAGTCTAGAACCAATGATTGGAAATGGCAGGGAAGCAGGTTTTGGCTAAACCATTTAAAGAGAAACTTCCTAATGCCAAGAACTATATATTCAACAGTGCAGAAGGCTTCCCTGGGAGGTGATGGGATCTCCTCCTCTGGAGCTGTTTAAACAATGGCTTAATGGTCATCTGTCTGGGTCCTGAGATGCTGTGGTTGCATCCTGGAAGGAGCAGGGGGTTGGGCTTAGATGACTTCCAAGTCCCTTTCTACTCCACGAACCTATGAAAATGCACCCCTCCACCCCCTGCAGTCCTGGTGCTGCTCAGGCTCCCTTGCGGCTGTGATTTATTTGCATCCCCCCCCCATGCACTTAAATCACATTCTTGTAATCAATGTCTCATGTTTTAGTTTGGGTATTTGCGACTTTATGGCAGCACTTTCCCAATATTAAGTTAGCCAAATAGCCTGTTTCCTTAACCTGCCACGCCTGAATTTGCAGACGAAACCAGTTGATCCCACTGTGGAGGGAGGTGCTCAGGTGCAGCAGATAGTAAACATTGAGTGCATATCGGACTTCATGGAAGCACCAGCCCTAAATATTCAGTTCAGGTACAACTCTTAATTTGGGTCTATATGTGTTGGGTTTAAGTAAGGACTGCTTTCTAAACAAATGAAACCGAACGATTCGAGCGGGGAACCACATTTTGGGGTGGAGTTTTAATTCAACAGACACCTGTGTCTATATGCTTTGAAGACTATTTTTTTTAAAAAAGAAAACCTGTGGCAACTGTTTCCTAATGCTCAAGGGTCCTCAAAGATTGAAATTGTTGCTGTTTGCATGTTTCAGATATGGAGGAACGTTGCAAAACATTTCTGTGAAGCTTCCCATCACACTGAACAAATTTTTCCAGCCTACAGAAATGGCCGCTCAAGACTTCTTCCAGAGGTGGAAGCAGCTAAGCAGGTAAGATGGTTTAGATCCTTCACAGCCATTAATAGCACATGCTGTGTTGCTTTAGTCTGGTGGTGCCTACCCATTACCTTGAGCCCTTCCAGTGGTGTATGAAGGTGTAAATTATTTCATTAGTCAAGCTGATGTAGAAGAACATTGACCTCCTTTGTACTAACGTCTCTGCAGGATTGTACTGGAGAAGGACAAGTCCTTCATTTTTCCACAGCTAGCTGTGCATAATACATTTCTTTTATTTAATTTTTTTAACCCTACTGTTCTTCATAAATAAATCCAAAGCAACTTATAAAATTACTAAACATTAATAAAAGCATTTCCAGAATCCCTAAAAAAATAGTATATAGATCAAGATGAGTTTTTAAATCAGAGAGAGAGAGAGAAACATTAAATGAAATCAAAAGTTCAGCAAAGTAACGTGCCTGAAGCTTATAAGGATGAGAGTTCCAAGATCTGGGTGCTGCAGTAGAAAAGTATCCCAACCAACTGTGCTCCAGAAAATGTTGGAACATATAGCAGGACCTCCAGTGTTGAATTCAGCAGGTGATCAGGATCATATGGGAGGAGGGAGACCTTCAGATATCCTGTTCCCAAACAGTTTAGGGCTGGGGGTTGTGGTCCTCTAGATGTTGTTGGACTCCCAGTTTCCTTTGGTCCACACAGAATGGCCAGTAGTCAGGAATGGCAGGAGTCTACAACATCTGGAGGGCCACAGCTTCCTCATCAATGGTTTAGGGCTTTATAGGCAAGAACCAGCAGCCTGAATTGTGCTTGGGAAATTGTGCCTGAATTGTGCTTGGGAAAACACTGGGAGCCGCTGCAACAAAACTGGAGTGAGGTGATCAGTAAAGTAGACTCCAGAAACCATTTTGCACCAGTTTAAATTTCCAAAAGTGTTTCAGAGGACACTGTATGCAGAGCGTGTTCCAGTTATCCAGTTTGGGTGTCACCAGAGCATATGTGTCAATTACCAGATCTGCTGAATGTTCCTGTCAGTAATTGATAATGATCCATATCTTTCCCTCTTCCCAATCCCCTAGGGTAATTTTGCAGTGTTTTAAAAACTGGTCCTGCTTGATAAGTTTACATGTAAATTTAACATTTTAGTTGATTTTTAAAAGGTGGTCAACCTACCTGAATTGTGGGTGGGTTGGGTGGAAGGAGGCAAAACAGACTGCTGAATCAATATTTGGTTCATTGGCTGAATGATGTCCTTTTTGTGAAGGCAGGAGGAAGCTGATGTAACCCTGCAGCGAAAAACTGCTTCAAGCCTCAATTTTTATAGGTTCAGTTTTAACCACCCCCTAATTTGCTGGTTCTATATGAAATGCTGCCTAACTCTCTCATGTTTGTACTGTAAAACCAAAGCAAATGTTAACTACTTTAACCTTGGTGCTACTTTGCAGCCCTCAACAGGAAGTGCAGAACATCTTTAAAGCAAACCATCCAATGGATACCGAAATTACAAAGGCAAAGGTGGGTAGCAGGTGGCTGTTATCCTCCTCCTCCTCCTCCTCCTCCTCCTCCTTCGGCTATCACTCATAGCCGAGTAAGATTACTCACCATCACAAGGTGATGATCGCACAATTGAGATCGTTATCACCATTGCTACTTGGGCATTTATAACCTGCACACTTCATTGCTGTTGCTCCCAGGGTGCTTTGCCAGAAAATAAAAATCATCTGCAATAAAATAAAATGTGTCAAGCAATGTTAAAACAAAAATGTAAATGCATGTAAAAACACACAACACTGCAGCAGAATCAAACCAGTTTAAATTGCATTTTTTAAAGTTCTGGGCAAATAAGAATAAAAAAGCTCTTTTCCTAGCCCCTCCAAAGGACATGAGCTTTGACTTCGGGATATCATTCCATGGACAACTGTGAGCCTTTTCTCTGAGTACTGCTCATTTCTGACAAAAGAGAATCTGGAGAAGCATACAGGAAATTTTATCCACATACAAGCCCACTTACACACACAACTGAGGTATGGATATTTGCAGTGGAGATGCCTATGTGCAGTTGGGGTGCTAAGTTCTGGGGAAGGTTCTGCACATAGAGACCTGCACATAATAAATAGGCTTTCTTCCTGCAGGTATCTATGCCTAATGTGAGAAAATCATGTGGTAGGGGGAAGTACATGAAATGTAAACTGCCAAATGTTACCAGTTCCTTTCAGAGCACAAAGGCTTGTTTGTGCCTAGACCAGGCCTTCCTCAACCTTGGCCCTCCAGATGTTTTGAGACTACAATTCCCATCATCCCTGACCACTGGTCCTGCTAGCTAGGGATCATGGGAGTTGTAGGCTGAAAAACATCTGGAGGGCTGAGGTTGAGGAAGCCTGGTTTAGACTTTGTAGGGTGGTTCTTCCAGATGTCTGTCTGTTGTCTGCTTTTGTAGGTAGAAGCCTCATGAGTTGTAGCCAGCAATCAAAGCAGCTGAGTTCTTGAAACTTAAATAACCCATTCTGAAAGCATGCAAGGAGTCCAATACAAGGCATTTTGGGGAAAATCTAGTGCAAGAACCACTGCTCCACAGATATGCTCCCACTACAATTGGAGACATTCCTGCAAGAATGTATCTGTGGAGCCCCAGTTCAGAGTCTGGTTGTGAGGGGCTGCATGGAGGTTGTTGACACCATTTGACTGCCGTGTGTTCAGCATGTTGACCAAGCCCCATCTTTTGTAAGGCCCCTTTCCTTCCTTTCTCACCACCTGCTCTTTCTTTTCATGGTCTCTGGTTCAAATCCCCTTTTTGGCTTTCCTTTGGCAGATTATTGGCTTTGGCACAGCGTTACTGGAAGAAGTAGATCCCAATCCTGCTAACTTTGTCGGAGCCGGCATAATCCACACAAAATCATTCCAGATTGGATGTTTGATGCGTCTTGAACCCAACCTGCAGGCACAGGTAATGGCTTCTTGTTTACTTGCTGAATGTTTTGAAAGTGTGGAAGAGCAAAACGGAAGAGATTTTTAAAAATATACCACATAGTTTTACTATGCCCACTTCTGTGACTCTAGCGTGCATCAGCCAATATTATGTCTGAGGTTGTTTTCTAGGAACAATCAGCCAAGACAGAGTGAAATATCTTGCGGCTGTTCTATGGTTCCAGCAGCTGTGCAATTATTCTGCTTCCTCGGTTAACATAAGACATAATGCATTCTTTTGAGACCCTGCTTTGGAAATAATACCTGGCAGACAAGTGGTAAAAATTGCTTTGCGTGACTAATTTGCCTGTGTGCAGTGCCACATGCAAGTCTACGCCTCTGCTGAACTAGACTGGAACATTCTAGAACATGGGTAGGCAAACTAAGGCCTGGGGGCCAGATCCAGCCCAATCACCTTCTCAATTCTGGGCTGCATCAATAAGAGTATAGCATCTAGATCAAGGGAAGTAATAGTGCCACTGTATTCTGCTCTGGTCAGACCTCACCTGGAGTACTGTGTCCAGTTCTGGGCACCACCGTTCAAGAAGGACACTGACAAACTGGAACGTGTCCAGAGGAGGGCAACCAAAATGGTCAAAGGCCTGGAAACGATGCCTTATGAGGAACGGCTAAGGGAGCTGGGCATGTTTAGCCTGGAGAAGAGGAGGTTAAGGGGTGATATGATAGCCATGTTCAAATATATAAAAGGATGTCATATAGAGGAGGGAGAAAGGTTGTTTTCTGCTGCTCCAGAAAAGCGGACACGGAGCAATGGATCCAAACTACAAGAAAGAAGATTCCACCTAAACATTAGAAGAACTTCCTGACAGTAAGAGCTGTTTGACAGTGGAATTTGCTGCCAAGGAGTGTGGTGGAGTCTTCTTCTTTGGAGGTCTTTAAGCAGAGGCTTGACAACCATATGTCAGGAGTGCTCTGATGGTGTTTCCTGCTTGGCAGGGGGTTGGACTCGATGGCCCTTGTGGTCTATTCCAACTCTATGATTCTATGATTCTAATCCGGCCCGTGATGGTCCAGGAATCAGTGTGTTCTTACATGAGTAGAATGTGTCCTTTTATTTAAAATGCATCTCTGGGTTATTTGTGGGGCCTGCCTGGTGTTTTTACACGAGTAGAATGTGTGCTTTTATTTAAAATGCATCTCTGGGTTATTTGTGGGGCATAGGAATTCGTTCATCCCCCCCCCCCCGTATAG